ATATTTTGATTAACATTTTTGCTAATTCATGAACATTAACAATAAATTGAATTTAAATTTTTAACTATTATTAATCAAACATGGCTAAAACAGCATGCTGTTTCTTTCCCTCTGGTTAATTAAAAATCTAGCACTTCTCAGAATTTCCTTTATCATTCAAAAGTATTAATCACAAGATTCATTCCATAAGTGTAAACATGTAAAATATGTCAGAATCTGTGACTAAAACAGATTTATAGTGGTTTTACTGTTGGTAAATGTTTCATTTTTGTTTACTGATGAGTTAGATTATTTCTGAATGTAATAATACAATTTGACTTAAATGCTGATGTGACTAATCTGTGTGTATGTTTTTTTTTCTCCTCCCAAAAATGCCATTTTGACCTTGTGTGCTTTTTATTTCAGGTGTGACTTATTTTCTGGAAAATTCTATTCTGATACCTATTGCTGTAAGATTTTAATGTCAATTGATGAGCAATAATAATAATAATAATAAAAAAAAAACATGAAAAAATGTAAAAAAAAAATAGTAATAATAAAAAAAGGTTAAGATTGCTGTTAATACATAAACAATAAAATGAAATTGAAATGATTAATAAGTATGTCTACTTTCAATAAAACAAACTCAATGCTGTCGATCAAGATTCTTGAGTATTTACTGTTAAGTAACATTTATAAGTGAAATGCAGTAATTAAAAAAAATATGCAAAAAAATGCAGTAATTAAAATAAATAAAAATAAAATTGCATTACATTAATTTTTCCAAGATTTTAAAATCAAACAAAAAAATCATGATATAATAAACATATTGCTAAATTGATAATGATAAATAAAACAAATAAGCAAAGATTATACATTTCCTTTTTTTTTTTTACTTAACTGAAAACTAGTCTAGCATGCTGAAATCAAAACGACACTTACCTGGCATGGGGTAGATGCCTGGAGGCGGAGGCTGTCCATGGGGAGGAGGATGGGGAGGGGGCAGCGGCATGGGCATGCCAGGAGGAGGCTCTGTCATAGGCAGCATGGGCATCCGGGGCAGGCCTGGTGGGGGTGGAAACGGGATCATGGTAGGAAGCGTGACGTCATCCACGATCAGAGGGTCATTACCGTGGTCAAAAGGACAGAGATCGCCTCGTATGCAAAACCCTTTCTCTGCCAACAAAAAAAAAAACACACATTAAAAATCAACAATACCACAACAGCAGAAACACAAAGCTTGACGGTTTTTACATCTGAGCCTTATACAAGTATTTTATACAAATACTTGTCAAGGTGGAGGAACTTCTAGTCATTCTTCCGTGGAGTTTGCTCCATGTAAACAGTGCTGTATGGATCATCACGTCTTTACTGTCAACGTGCCAAATCACAGCTTGTTTAATAAGATCAGGGCTAATCGAGCTAACCATCCATCCTTCAGGAATCCCTGTGGACAGTCTCCTGCCACTCCCAGCAGTGTGGACATACCCTCGCTCCAGAAAGACGGTAGTAAATATAAACACTGCTGGTTTAACACCGCTCCCAGAAGGCCGTGCAGTGAGACTGCTGCACCATAGTCATTAGTGATGCTTTAGAAACAGACACCTCGAAGAGTAAAATGTGTCCTTGGAGAACATCAAGACACATCAGTGTTTCTGATGTGTTATACATCACTGGACTTAGATTTGAGACATCCAGTGGCTCCAAAATGTATATGGACCTTAATTATGAAAATATCAAACTAAGTCACATTTAAGAAAAATAGTACAAGTGCACTTTAAGCTTTTTCACAAAATGTTTGTTAGGTTTAACATGCTTAAAAGAGCATTTTGTCTTCAGTTTGAACAGTGAATCTATTATTTTAACAAAGCAAAAATGTTTTTTGTATACTTTCTGGTTGCCAAAGATTAGTCGAACATGTTCGTATTTAATGTCATGAACTACACCTGTGGTTATTCTAGAACACCAGTGTGTTCTGGTGTGTTCCGTTTTTCACCCAAAAAAATAAATAAAAAATTAACTGCAATACTAGTTAATTGAAGGAAAAAGCTCATAAGTGTGACATTAGTTTACTATTTTGTTATCTAACACAATGATTGAGAGACATATATATATATATATATATATATATACACACACATACACACACACACAGTATATATGTAAAGAGAGAGAGACACATTAGTTTTTGTATTTTTTTTCTATTTAGCTTTAATTTTTTTCTTCATTTAATTACATTTAACATTAATTTTATAAATAAAAAGATTACAGATAGATAGACAAGCACATTATAGTAATTTTTTAAAAACTTTTTCTATTCAGATTTATTTTTATTTCAATTGTCATTATAGTAATGTTAGTACTTAAACTTATTTCAGTTCTAATTTTCATTTAAGTTTTATCATCAAAAATTCATCATATATATATAACATTTTATTTGAGCTTTATTTCAGTTACCAAAAACAAATTTCAATAGCTTTAACAACACTGATTAGAAAAGTCAGGGCAAAGTCACTCAAGCACCATAATCACACCAAACGTGACAAAGTGAATCGTGTCTTACCGTCGTAGTCTCTGCAGCGATGTTTAAGCATGCTGCTCTTGTTGAACGTCTTGCCATCTGTGTGCTTGGTGAAGTATGTGGACCAGCTCTCTGTAGTGCTGTCGGGCAGGTGAGCCGGTGCTACCACGGTTACGACGTTGGGGACGGCGGGGCTCCCTGAGGAGGGGAACTGGTGCTGAGGAAGAGGCAGAGGCAGAGGGAGCAGGGGGGGTGGATGGGGCTGCTGGTGGTGTGGGTTACCCATGTGGGCAGAGGATGGGTTGTAAGGCTCTGTGTCCTTCCGCTCCTGCTCAAATTTGGATCTGTGCTCTGCTGAAATAAAGCACATTTAAAATCAAGACTTATTTGTTTGCAAAGAAAGAAACATTTGAAAAAATGTCAAGCGGCATAACCATCAAGTATTTTTGCTTGCTTACAAGCATTTTTTTTTCATATCCACCTTGCATATGTACTAGTCTTATCTTAGTCTTTTTTATATATATATATTTTTTTTTACATTTTTAAGGTAAAAGGCATTTAAAAAAAAGACAATCAATTATTAAATAATAAACACACATTTTATAGAAATAAAGCCTCAAAGCCATGACGCTCTTCAGGGGTTCTCTCTATATTCCTCCTCAAAAATTGCTCAAATTTTCTTCAAATATTAATATGCAGTTTTGTTTCCTAAGAAATAATAACAAAAGATTATGTACATACAAAGTATGTACTTTTCCTTTCAAAAATTTTATTCTTTTATTTTGTATTTTTTTTTATGAAAATAGGACAGTTACATCACCCTGACATTTTTATACCAAATAAAAAACTAAATTCTAAATTATGCTTATTATAAAAGATGTACATTTAAGTTCTTCCTAGGGGTGTGCGATATATATCGTCTGCGATAATATCGTAATTGTTGTTTTAACGATGTGCGATTTGACATTATCGAGTATTTTGCAAAAACCATTCCAAACACCCCTTCAGAGTGCACGCATACATTAGGCTACAGGAAGTCTAGACTAGTGCGAATCACAATCACTGCATGACTCAGTCTAATAAAATGCCTTTAGATTGATCACACAATTCAAGATATGGGGATAGAAAATGTATATTTATATCTATATATTTCATATAGTTAATCAATATCACACAGAGAGTGCTGTTTTTTTTCTCCAAAAATGACCATGATTACAAATGTAATATTGATTTTTTACAGCAGTTCAAAAAACAAGAAGTTAATTAAGAGACTTACAGTGTGTTCACACCAGACACGAATGTAATTATTCGCGTGAGTAGATTACATACAAAGTCAATGCAAAGACGCGAATAGAGGCGAATTCGCGCCGGGCGACGCGAATGACGCGAAATGCGCGACCCGTTTGCCGCGAACGTACGATATTCGCCTCAATCGCGTCTGCCGCGCAAGTTCAAAAATTTCAACTCGAGCGGAAAATTCGCACGATGCGTTCTCGCGCAAGCCAATCAGCAAAGAGTTTCTTGACACGTCCAGTTGAATCAGACAATAGAAGAGAGCATTATTGCAGCCGTCTGTTATTATATAGGTCTGGAGCATAGAAAACAATTAAAATCAGTTGGAGTGGTAGTTGTATTTTATTAGCATGGCTACAGAGATGCTGCTATCAATAATAAAAATAATAGTAATATCAGTGTATATATACAGTAGTAAAATGTAACACACACATTAATACAGGATCCTAACGTTATTCATCCTCCTCTGGATGGTGCCGTGAACCCAGACACGTCGGCGTTTGGCTTTCCATTGTATTTGGGACTTTTTGACAACAGGTACAAAACAGCGATTGTAGTTATCTCCCACTATGGTTGATCGCGCTGTTTTTATTCACGCGAGTGACACGAAAAACATCCCGCGAGTAATCTACAGCGAGTGACACGATGCGCATATTCGCTTCGCGTCTGGTGTAAACACACCATTACAACTGTGCAGTGAGTTTTAAACATCATATTGCCTGTTTTTGCTTCATTTCGCCAACAAAAATAATTCCAAACAAAGCCACAGCACTGTTTCGCGTCTCTGAGCAACATGACGGCGTTTCGTTCCTGAATGAAGCAACCGTTTAAACGATTCGGTTCAGTCGCAGTGACTCACTTATTAACAGTGACTTGCTGCCACCTACTGGCGGTTTTAATTGCACATTTAAAGTTTCTTTTTGATTATTTCAATAATTTCGAATTACATTATTCAACGTTTTGTTTAATATATCAACACATTTTTTATGCCACTTCAGACTAGGGCTGCACAATTAATCGAATTTCTAATCGCGATTACAATTACGGATGTCACAATTATGTAATCGTTCAAAGCGGCAATTAATCGTTCAAAGTCCAGTTATGTTATTCTGTGTGCTTAAGATCTTTTTTTTTTCTTTCTACAAGTTATCTTAATGGGTTTTCCATTGTTTTAATATAACATTATAATACCATGCATATTTTACCTTTTTTTATTTAAAGAAGAAACCAATCCAATGAATAGATGCCACTTAAGGCTTAATACGACAGAAAAGCAATAAAGGTTTTTCAGTTTGAGGGTTTTCAGCGTGTTTATTTTCATCTAAAAATATGGCATGCGGTTGCTTCAAACAATGATATAACATCATTCAATGTAAATTGTGATAATCGTAATTAATAATCGCAATTACAATTTAAAGGGAATAATCGACAATTGTGATTTTTGTCATAATCGTGCAGCCCTACTTCAGATGGAGCTTCTGTGTTTCCTCTGCATTGCAAAGATGAATTTTATTTATACTGATTTCATTTGCTTGATAACAGCCCAAATGTCTTATTCTAATTCACTGATTAAATGTAAGAATTTGACTCAAAAGATAATGCACACTTTTAGAAAAAATGGCTTTATAAAGGTAAAAATGCACATTAAGAGGTAAAAATTTAATTAAACTTATTGGAAAAGATTAACTTCTATCAGTGTGAACTGACCACCACACAGAATATGAAGAATATCAAAAACTTTAGGAGTCAGCTGTCCATGGTAGTCCTTAAGATAACAGCACAATAACACACTCAGCAAAATATCGTCTAATTATCGTTATCGATAAAATCTCAGAAAATATCGAGATATTATTTTTTTGTCAATATCGCACACCCCTAGTTCTTCCATGTTTGAATTTCATTTATTTATGCGTTTAAGAATTAAATAATAGATCTGGCCAAAAAACTAGCATCATATTATGGAACAATTACCCATTTAAATGAAATACATTTCGAAGCACTCTGTTGCACACAAAAGAACTTAAGCGTAGGTAAAAGAAAAGTGACAGAAGTGATTTGGGACGGTCCTCACCTCTCCTCTGATTGTGCTCTCTTTCTCGGCTCTTTCCACGGCTGCTACTGCGGCTACGACTCCTGCTTCGACTGTAGCTTCTCCCCCGTGAGCTTCCTCCTCGCCACTCATGTCGGTCTCGGTATGATTCTCCGCTCTTTCCGTGACGGTCCAGTTCCCGCCGCTTACGGTCGTCTCTCCTGCGGTCATCTCTAGCCCTGAGTTCAGACATATAGACACTGCGTGTTACTGATATGTGTCTGAATTATATATATTGGACTGATTTGACTGCCTCATGTCCAGTGTGAAAGGGTTTTGAACACATATCATGAATGTTCCATGGAATAATCTGAGGTACCATGTTTTTTTTTTGAAAAAATTAATACTTTCAATGAGCAAGGATACATTATATTGATTAAACTCAAAGGTAACAGTGAAGACTTCTAGATCTTTACTAAGAATTTATCTTTTAAATACTGCTTTTCTCAACTTTCTATTCATCAAAGAATCCTGAAAAAAATATATCACGGTTTCCAGAAGAATTTTAAGCGCAACTCTTTTCAACATTGATAATAAGAAGAAATGTTTCTTGAGCAGCAAATCATCATATTAGAATGCTTTCTGAAGGATCATGTGACACTAAAGAATAAAAAACAACTGTAACCTTTATATGTGACCCTGGACCACAAAACCAGTCATAAGGGTCAATTTTGTGAAACTGGGATTTATACATCATCTGAAAGCTGAATAAATAAGTTTTCCATTGATGTATGGTTTGTTAGGATAGGATAATATTTGGCTGAGATACAACTATTTGAAAATCTGGAATCTGAGGGTGCAAAAAAATCTAAATATTGAGAAAATCTCCTCCAAATGAAGTTCTTAGCAATGCATATTACTAATCAAAAATTAAGTTTTAATATATTTACAGTAGGACATTTACAAAATATCTTCATGGAACATGATCTTTACTTAATATCCTAATGATGTTTGGCATAAAAGAAAAATCAATAATTTTGACCTATACAATGTTTTTTTTTTTGGCTATTGCTACAAATATACCCCAGCGACTTAAGACTGCTTTTGTGCTCCAGGGTCACATATGTACACAAGACCCAACACAATCAGAAGGAAAAGAAACACTTTTGAAGACCAACCTTGATTCATTTAAGTCAGAACGATTCCTTAATGGGCTTCTTCTTCTTTTGTTATCCCGATCATCTTCAACATGACTCGTCTGAAAACAAATGTAAATGTGTTAATAACACAATTTATTTATTTACACTAAAAATCTGTCATGACTATCGAGGAGTGTAGTGCACCACTATACATGTCAAATCAAGTCAATTTTATTTTTATGCGCCCTTAACAATACACATGGTTTTTACAGAAAATCATGATGCTAATAACATCATCATGCCTTATAGTTGCATCTAGCCGATCAGTGCTGATAATACAGTTTACATTTTTCAATGATATAAACAATCAAGCAGTTGCTATGTAGTATATATCGCTTTATGCGATTATACAGTAGAATTTGGATACACTTATGTACCCGGCTTTATATACAGAGCTGTGTAATAATACAGTTTACTTTTCACAAGATCATAAACAACAAGAAATATCTTATGCTGTTATTTTATATTACTGACTACTTACCTCTTCCTTCTCCTCAAGCTTCTGCACTGGGATTTTACCCTCTTCTTTAGCAGCTGGATTTCCCAAATAATTTTTGGTGGATAGACATTCAAAGAGTTTATCGACAAACCCTGTAGTGTCTGTGAAACGAAGAGAACAATGAATCAATTCAGCAAATACCCAAAGCGCATGATAATCTTTTTAGATCATTCATATTCGACAAGAGATTAAACACAAAGGGCCTGAATTCACTAATAATCGCATACTTATGGGGAAGGGGAAGTCGTGGCCTAATGGTTAGAGAGTCGGACTCGTAACCCAAAGGTTGCGGGTTCGAGTCTCGTACCGGCAGGGATTGTAGGTGGGGGGAGTGAATGTACAGCGCTCTCTCCCACCTTCAATACCACGACTGATGTGCCCTTGAGCAAGGCACTGAACCCCCAACTGCTCCCCGGGTGCCGCAGCATAAATGGCTGCCCACTGCTCCGGGTTTGTGTGTGTTCACTGCTGTGTGTGTGCACTTTGGATGGGTTAAATGCAGAGCACTAATTCCTAAATACTTGGCCACATGTCACGTCAACACTTATGTGCACAGCTATTCACAAATTTCTAAATTGAAAATAATCAGCTATGTGAGGACTTTTTATAATACCTTTCTGAAGGAAAACGTCCAACTGATCCGCACACAATGCTCGGAGTTCTTTCTCTGGTTTATCCTTCTTTACTAACGCCACAACGTAGTTTGCCAGTGCAGATGGGTCAGCATCACATCTGTAAAAGATCTCATGTTCATTTCATGTAAATCCACACATGCAAGAGACAAGAAGTCTCCGGTCTAATTCAAAAGTCAAGTGTATCCATGCAGGTCTTCTAAAACAACAATCCACAATATAAGTGTTGTTTACTAGTAGCTTTTCCAAGAGGTCTACTAGGATGCACAGAAATCAAACACATGACAAGTTGTCAGCTAGTGCAGCAGCAACAACCACCAAACACACTAGTGACTCCAAAGAGAAACTGTCTGCCTGCTGGTCACACATGCCAAGGCTTTAAAACTAAAATAACTTGTGCCCTGATCCGGTTTTGGCCCAGTCTATGAAAACTATCAGGCTGTTTTGATGACCACCCCACTCAGCCAGCAGACCCTCTTGGCTTAGCTTCCAGCTACATTGTTTCTAACTGGAAGGCGTGTTAGAATTATGAGCTTATGTATGAATACAACACAATTTAACTATAATTTAAACACCAAATCAAAGGAAACTATAACTATTCGCTGCGCGCTTAAGTGGTTTGAAATCCAGCTAAGCGGTTAGCATGTTAGCGCCGCCAGTTCGCTTTACTGATTTAAATGTCACTGTTCATCACTTACATGGGTTCAAGAAGTTTAGACAGCCAGGATTTCAGAGCGTCAACATTTTCTATAATCATCCTGACGCGCAACTGATTAATACTGATAAAAGGCTGGGTGTTTACGCGTAACTCCTACTAGCATCGTCTAGAAACACGCTCTGGGCCTTCTGTAGTCACTAGCACGTCGGAGGAGCTGCTGGAGGTTCTGCGCAACGTCATGACGCAACGACGGCAGCCAATCACAGAGCTGCTTTAACTTGCTCTTACGCATTCCTCCAAGTACTTTCACTTTTTGTTCCAATCAACTCTAAATGCATAAAAAAATAATAAGAAGAAATGTAACAATGTTTAATGTTGTTATTTATTCTACAAAAATACAAAACACCCCTTCCAGCTATTATATTATTATATTTCATGTATTTTATTTTACCTTTCTGTTGTCTCACTTATTACATACTTTAAGTGATTTTATTCTTGAGAGTTTTACATCAGAGTCAGACTATTTGATGTTTGGATGTTCGTAATATTTCTGAGAAAAAAAGAAAAAAAAAAAAACTACAGGCCCCAACAACAACAACATGGCAAATTAAAATTAAATTACAAAATTATTATTATTACTGTGGCTTTCTGGGGATAGTTGTGCTATGACTTCTACAAGTGATCAGTTAAGCGGGGAAGTGTACTGTACTGTGCATAGATATACACATCAGTTTAGCTGATTTCCTATGTAAATTAAAAAGAAACAAAAAAGCAGTTAAAACATATCAGATTTTGAATAAGATTATTGAGTCATCTGTAAATAGAGACTCAAAGTTTAGATGATTTTTCCAAATCCCCTCACTTGAGTCAAAACGAAATGTAGAACATGTACTATTATTATTAATAATAACTTTTACTTTCTATTATTATTATTAAATAGTTTACTTTCATTTATTTATTTATTTATTTTTAATCATTTATTTTACTTTAATTTTGTTGTCTTTGTTTATACTCTAAATCTCTCGCTGTATGTATATGTTGATTGTTTTTACTCACTATTAAGTCCAATTGTCAATATGCTTTAACAGTATGTTTTCCAATGTCAAATGTTACTTGCAAAATGTTAATAAAAAATACTTAATGAGAAGAGAGAGAGAGAGAGAGAGAGCGAGATACGGTACTGTGGCCCTACGAACTCCATTACCCTAAGTATTTAAAAAAGACAAGATTAATGGAAAGAGTTTGAAGTTTGGAATTTTGTATTTATTTACGTAAAAAAAATTGGTTTATTTTATTAATTTATTTTATTATTATTATAATATATATATATATTTTGTTTTAATCTATAATAGTTGAATAATTCATAGCTGAACCGTGTGCGTTTCACACTCCAGACCAGTAGGTGGCGGACATGCACCTTTAACGTTGGTTTGCCAATCCGCCAAAAAACTCGAGCGAAGAAGAAGAAGAAGAACTCCATTACCCATGATACAAAGCGTCATCCGGCGACGACGTTTCCGTACGGTGTCATTAGCCGAGTGCGCGTGGGTTTCACTCTTCAACAAATCCTGCTGAAGTTACAGCGAATAGATCAGAATGACGGTAAATTTCATTTACACTAAGCCGTTTCAGTGGTTTACACTCTTTACTTCATGCGGTTTAGAGTATTGCCTGCTTCATGATCTCAAACAACAAAAACTGAAATAAACCGCTCCATTGAGTAGCATGGCTTATCGTTAGCTGCTAGCTTCGTGCGAATGTGTCCCTTATTCAGTTACCCTTATGTACTTTGAGTCCTGAACGAAAAGTAGGAACAACCGTTCGAGCCACACAGTGAGCGAACTCAATAACGTTGTTAACTTACTTTTTTGCAAGTTGGATGAAGTTGGCAGAGTAATATGAATGGAGATGATGCGCACCACTGCTGTTCTGATCTAGACACAAGTACCAGTGTATAGTTTATCAAATGCACCATTTTCGTAACTGGAAGTTTTGTTTATATACATCATTTGTGTCATTCCAGGAACGCAAAGGAACAGCAAAACTTGACTTCTTGAGGAAGATTGAGGAGGAGGTTCAGCAGAAATGGGAGCAGGAAAAGATGTTTGAGATTGATGCTCCAACCACCTCTGAGGAAAATACAAAGTGAGCCTGTCTTAATATATTTTCTGACGTTGTACAGATTCTGTCGATGACCAATTATGTATTCTTGTCTGTTTACCCAGTAAGAACAAGTACTTTATTACGTTTCCTTACCCGTACATGAATGGGAGACTTCACCTTGGACATACGTTCTGCCTGTCGAAGTGTGAGGTGAGTCCGAAATCCAGTTAAAGAAGACGGCAAAGACATCATTTCATATAAATTATGATTCAGCTAAAATCTCCAATGTCCTGTAGTTTGCAATAGGTTACCAGCGGCTGAAAGGAAAGCAATGTCTTTTCCCATTTGGACTTCATTGCACTGGGATGCCCATCAAAGTGAGTAGATTAAAAGTTCTGCGCCTCAGATCTGTACACGTTTGTCATCAACAAATCTGTTTTATGTGTAACAGGCATGTGCAGACAAGCTGAAGAGAGAAATGGAGCTGTATGGAAACCCGCCGCAATTCCCTGAGGAAGATGAAGAGGAGGAAGAGCAGAAGAAGATCACCGATGAGGTCATCATTAAGGACAAGTCAAAGGGCAAAAAGGTAAATGTGTGCTATGAGGAAATTATAACCTAAATGTTGTAGGACCGAATCCCCACAAGGGTTGATCCATGAGCTATGAATGGCGTATTAACATATAATAATTAAAGCTAATAAAGTGTAGGGTTGTGACGGTGAGGAAATTTTCCCAATGGTTAATCGACGCCAAATAAATAAGAAACGTAGAACGTTTATTAGCAAAACAAGTAAGAAAGTTTGGAGGCACATGCGTACACCTTGATGTCAAATAAAATAAATAAATGAGATAAAGTGAAAATCAGCAAACAATGTGGAACCAATTAAATAAGAAACGAATGTTTATTTTGAGCAGTGTAGAATAGCACTTGTTGTTTGTCATTTCTCTGATCACAAATGCAGACATGGTTTTTTGTTTATGCAGTATGTGGAAAATAATGTGTTTTTTTAACTTTAAACCGCATAAACACATTTCATTACACCAAATAAACAAAATGTTCTTTTTAGCAGCATCATATGACCCCTTTAAGATAAACAAGGTTCTACACCAGATCTATAATGTTACAGATCATTTATAATGCTTACAAGAATAGGCTACATCCTAAAATATAATTAGAAGTACAATTAGCATCAAGAAGCTACACTTGAAAATGTATGTAATTATTAATATATTTACTTACCCACTTTAAACCATCATCGAGTGCTTGTAATAACTTCCAGTTGCGATCTATAGTTGATTTTGATTAATAAGCAGACACATGCACTCTTTGTATGTTTAATAACGCTACACTGCTAATATTTGTCATAAACATCCTTTATTGCTATAAAAACACTGTGAGCTGCATACGAAACACAATATTTCGTCATAATCATTTCTATTTGCTTTCATATTTCATGTGAAGAAAAAGAGTGAACGCGCTCTGACTCATAACACTCGCGCACGTGGAAGAAAACGGACGGTGCTCTACAGATCGCATAATTCAGTGGACAATTAATAGAAATGTTATTCTGTATAAAGAACATGTGAGAATAAATCTGTTCTCAAATACCAACGATAACAAAAACTCAGCATCCACTCTCTTCTCTTATCCGGGATACTCTTCTTCTGTGTTTGTTTACTTTTCGAAACAGCGCCACCACTCAGCTGCTCCGGTTACGTGATCCTAGCTCAAATCTTATTGGACGGCCCATGTTTTCGCTTTGCGAAACTGAAAAGATTAGTCGGAGTGGTTCGAAAAAAAAAAAAAAGCATTCGCATTTTCGGTGCGCGAATGTTCACGGTCTGTGGAAGCATCCATAGAAATAAATTGTTTTATTCCAGTGCGTCATCGCGTCCGATATTCGTTTCGCTTTTTCACGCTCAGTGTGGAAAGGCCTTAAGACTTCATCAGAGGAAAGCAAAGTTCTGTACACAGTACACGTTATCATCAAAAATGACACCTAAAATTAGCTGTTTTATGCAAGTTATTTTTAGGTTGCCTAAAAAAAAAAAAAAACTTCAGGCAACATTATGGGAATATTATTTTGTTTACAAAAAAAAAAAAAAAAATGTTCTTAGAATATAATTATTTGGTTCCAAAAAATAACCAAACAGGAACCAAATACTAACGTTAGGTGAACATTCTCTGTTAGTTGTGCTATATTTTTTATTTTAATTTATTGTAAGAATTTACAAACTTGAGTTGAACGTTTCTGTTCATATTACTGTTTTAAAAACTATTAGTCAGTTAATTAATTATCAGCCAGAGCTTCCACTGTGGTTATTGGTGTCTGCACAAATTTACAGAATGACTTAGTATTTTTATAAAGTTCAAAAAAAAGTTTTTTTTTTTTGTTGTTTTTTTTAATTTTTTTTATGTAGTTTACACTTCTCAGACATATCTACTTAAAGTTAAACATTTCCATTTTATGAATGTTTATCTATTAACTTAGTTTTGTTTTGTTTATTTAATAATTGTAACTTTTTTAATCACATTTATTATTTTCAAATTCTAAAATGTTTAGTTTTAAAATGAAACCTGTCTTGTTCTTACAGGTACACCATTTACTCTCCAAAAGATGGGCAGCCCTGCATGGACCATGACAGACAGACAGGAGAGGTGGGCACTGCTTTTAATTAAGAAATTCCTTTTATGCTGTAAAATAAGATGGTTGTGTTTTGTATATTTAGTAATGTTCTGTGTCGCAGGGAGTTGGGCCTCAAGAGTACACCCTGATTAAGATGAAGATTGTGGAGCCTTACCCAGCAAAATTGAGGTACGATTCATAATAATATGATATTGAATAATTGTCATCTTCGTGTATCATGGTCCTCTAAAAAATGTCATGCTATGACCATGGTACCAAAAACATGGTATTTGTAAGTCATTTTGTTTGAACTGTGTTTAAAGAAGGTTTTTGTTTTCTAACTGTTTACAGTGGCCTTAAAGGCAAGAATGTTTTTCTGGTGGCTGCGACTCTGAGGCCTGAAACCATGTTTGGTCAGACGAATTGCTGGATTCGGCCAGATATGAAGTACATTATATTTGAGACGGCCAACGGTGAGCTGTTCATCAGCACGCAGCGGTCAGCCAGGAACATGTCCTACCAGGGCTTTACCAAAGAGAATGGAGTGGTTCCTGTCATCATGAACATCATGGGCCAGGTTTGTGTTTTTATTCACCCTATGTTTGTGTATTTATTTATTCATTCATTTGGAGGTGAAATGTAACATTTTTATAACATTCACTCAGTGAAAGTGTGATTTGTTTCATATTATGTTATAATATTCAATTTCTATTTTTCTGGTGTATTATAAATAGTGCTATCAAACGATTAATTGCGATTAATCGCATCCAAAATAAAAGTTTTTGTTTACATAATATATGTATGTGTGCTGTGTACAGTATATTTATTATGTGTATATATAAATACACACAAATGCATGTATATATTTCAGAAAAGTGTTTATATATTAAATATATTTATTTATAATATAAATTATATGAATATAAATATAGACATGTAAATATTTTCAAAATATATACTGTATGTGTGTGTGTATTTATATGTACGTAATAAATATACAAAGAACACACATATATTATGCAAACAAAAACTTTTTTTTTTGTATGCGATGAATCGTTTGACAGCACTAATTATAAAATAACAGTACTTTTAACTTAACTTTTTTTTTTTTTTACTTAAAAAAAAAAAAAAAAAAAAAAAAAAGAATGTTAACTACAAAAAAAGATCATAATTTTAATCCTGACAATGCAGTGCGTGTTGTACCAAACTTATGACAAGTATTTTCAGTACTTTTTGTGAAATTACACAATTTAATTCACAAACTGAATCAAGTTTATGCACACTGACTGCTCCTTCACAGACACACTCCTCCTCCCATTTTTTCAGGACATCCTTGGCTGCGCATTGAGTGCCCCCCTCACCTCATACAAGACCATTTATGCCCTGCCAATGCTCACCATTAAAGAAGACAAAGGTACCCGACACCAGCCCACAGTATCGTCGCATCACATTACCCGTGCACAGACAAGATGCATCTCTCAACGGGCCACAGGGCAATGCTGCATGCTTTTAATAGCCAAAGTGAAAGCGGCGTTACTCATTGCGGAGTACAGTGAAGCCAGGAGAAATGGAATATGGAAATGTCCGTAATGGATGTTCCCTCAGGCTACACGGACCACATTACTCCAAACACAAACTGCTCCTCGCCTAATTCTTTTTCTTATACCCTGGGCTCTTGTTTTCATCCCGAAAGGGCCGTCCCCAAATTGATATGTCAGAAATTTCAATATCGATCACTGGTTGTCTGACTGTGGAAAAATAAATGTTGTTTTTGCCAAAAATGTGAGGTGGAGCATTTATAGTAAGTTACCTTATTATGGAGTTTGTTGAAATCTAATTTGTCATCACAGGAACTGGAGTCGTCACCAGTGTTCCGTCAGATGCTCCTGATGATATCGCCGCTCTGAGGGACATTAAAAAGAAACAGGTGTTGTATTTGTTTTATGGCATTTCATTTTCTTTTCTAGATTTGGTTTGAGTTCCTTCAATGAGGAAATTCCCAGAGAAATAACTGTAGTTCAGATAAGATGAATGTTCCTGATACAAAAATGCCTTAACATGTTGTTTTTTTTTTTTGTTTTTTTTTAAGGCTTTGAGAGAGAAGTATGGAATTCAAGATTATATGGTTCTACCGTTTGAGCCGGTAAGAAGTATTTTTAAAGACCCCTTCCCAGGCTCAACTATGAGAAAAGCCTAGTGGCGGTCTGAGAGAGTTCCAGGGCTGCATTTAATAATAAATAGTATTTAAATGTAATGTTCAAATTTGTGCTGTCAAACGATTAATCACGATTAATCGCATCCAAAATAAACGTTTTTGGTTGCATAATTATATAAATATATATATTAATCGTGCTGTCAATCGATTAATCGCGATTAATCGTTTGACAGCACTAGTTAAAATAAATATTAACAATACATGTACTGCAGTACTTCCATACTGTTGAGTAGGGCTGCACAGTTTGGGGAAAAAATTTAATTCTAAATGTAATGTGATTTTTCCTGACTAATAAATAAAAATATGGCATGCTTGTCCAACAACAACAGCAACATTGATATTAACAGTACGCAAAATAAATTGACAAAGTCTGTTTTCATTTAGAGAGCATAAATGACAAGGGAGCCTATCAACTTTTTTTTTAATAAAACTAAAACTAAACTAAAATTATTAATGTTGCGGTCTAAAATAGATTACCACACTGTTTCAAGAAAGTGGCAATTTATTAATCTTCATAGCCATCAAGTCTGGGTTTGCAATGTAAACTAGTGCATAAGCTATTGACAACTTTATAAAAAGGCCATTTGCCTTGCTGTGCCTGTCAGAGTTATTTTTCAAAACATCCTAGATTCTGTGTGTCTAAAGTGGCTTATGGCTTTCTGTTCTACCAGGTACCCATCATTGAGATTCCAGGTTATGGGAACCTGTCGGCTCCTCTGGTTTGTGATGAACTAAAGATCCAAAGCCAGAATGACAGAGAGAAACTGGCTGAGGCCAAAGAGAAGGTCTACCTCAAGGGCTTTTATGAAGGGGTAAGACAATCTAAACACCAACATCACTTCGATTCATTATTTTCTTCACTAATATACAGTAGTAACATAGATAAATGCATATAGGGGCACTTCATGAAATATGCTTGTTTTAGATGCTAAAGTTGGTGGTTAGAGTACTATGTGCTTGCTTTAGGTATCTGCTAAATGACAGCTTATTCCTACATGTGAAGATCTGAAAAACTTCACTGAACTTTGTTTTGCCAGATCATGTTAGTGGAGGGTTTCAAGGGACAGAAGGTCCAGGATGTTAAGAAGCCCATTCAGAAGATGATGGTGGAGAAGGTTGGTGGACCACATGTAATACATGACATGAAATAATAGTCAGAACTTTTTTTAAATGGAACAGTGTAGATGGCCCATATCATAGGACAATATGGACCTCATACCAGTGTTAATTTCATATCTTTTTCACCGACGACAACAAGACTATAACAAACTAAATCTCTTTTTGAATGACAAAAACTATGACGTAAATCTATTGACATTTTCGCCAACGAATAAAAACGAGACGAAAATGTTAGGTAGGGACGATTTGAGAAGAGATTCATTCGGAACGAATCTGCTGCATGGTTCGGAGGTTAGATGCGTACATATGAACCGGCAGGACATAAGCTAACATACACTTGCTGCACGTCGCATAAAACGTTAAAAAATGTCAATATGTGGGAGTAAGAGAAGAGCAGACATATGGATAAATCTGATGATGCAAGAGAGAACTCAATTCGGTCCGGTTTTCTGAGCACAGAAACTTGTCCGTTTTGATGAGTATTCACGTAAACAGTAGGGTGAATGTGTCTCAATACATTGCATCCATTGCAGCTGTGCATTCGGTTTTAAAGGGACAGCAGCCTAATTTAGTTGCTATTGTCCGAGTCATTGATGTTAATCAAGCAACAAAAGAAAGACAGAAAATCACTCCCTGCTCTTGACTGAAAAAATGTAGTAGCCCTAAAGATTAATCTAAATTTATTTATAGAAATAAATATGTCTGCTTGAAAGACTGAAGAATGTGGTTATCAGGTCGTTATAAAGAATGCATAATTATCCTATATAACCATTGGTATTTCATTAAAAAGAAGACCATGTTCTTGTTCTTTATGAGAAGTGGTTTTATTTAATTTTAACATAAAGGCTTGTTGTGTGTCTCTGCAGTTAAATCGTCTATCATGATAAAACCTTAATATCAAACCTATATAATGAGTTTGGAAATTTTAGAGAAATGCTTAATAAATGCATTACACTGTAACTAAACCCATTAGATTTTAGCCGACTAAATTTACTGTAGATTTAGTCGACTAAAACTAAAAACAATTCAGATGACTAAAACTAAATGGCATTTTAGTCAAAAGACTATGACTAAAACTAAATCAAAATTTGCTGTCAAAATTAACACTGCCTCATACTCAAGGAAGAGAAAAACAAAAAATGCCCCAGTATTATTCAGGGCCCCAAACTGAGCTGAAATATTTAATTTTGTGCAGTTGTTGACGTGTATATGGCCAAAAATAAGATGACATTCTGATTGTAGCATTGCAGTTACTTGAGATAGCAAATTATTTTCCACAGAAGTATAAGTACATAAATGATGATTATTAGTGAAATAAATAGTAAATGTTAACAGAATTTAGAGACTTTTAAAAAATAGATTTGCAATCCATTTACAGTTCAGTATTACAAAACCGATATCCAATTAAGAAAAAAAAAAGATTAAATATAGGAAAAAATAATGTTAAAACCATTTTCTCAATTTTTAGTTGTCACTAAATCTCCCAATAAAATTTTTGTAAGATGGTATTTAAATGCTTAGGTTTTTTCATTTTTTAAAATTTTTTTTTTTTTTAATCAAAGCTCTGTAGATTTTAATGTGGGGGCAAAAAAATATAATGCAATGCGGCAATGATTGGGAGATGAACGTACAAATAAATATTCCTCTAAAGCCTGATCTATTTGATACTCGTATATTAGCATGATTTTTCTAAACCATTTTTTTCCAAGTTGCTTTAGTCCAATAAATGTCCATCTTAAAATATTGCTATACTAATAAAATTGTTTTTCTACATTGTTTATACACTTTATAAAAATCATTAATGATTTGAAAAAGACAACCTGCATCACAACCTGAAGGTGGATGTTTTTAAAATTATACTAAAAGCCCTTTTACTCGCTAAGCAAGTAGACTGTGTACAACAGTTTTTTGATTGTTAATCATTTAGAGGCCTTAAAAGTTTGTGAATTATAAATATGATACAGTAGGCTTTGTAGGGTTTATGATTGAACATTTAATTATGAGTTGCGAATCTTTTTCTTTTTTTTTAAATTTTTTTTATAAGGTATCAAAAAAAAGTCTAACCCTATTTTATTTATTTTGTTAGGGGGAGGCGATGATCTACATGGAGCCGGAGAAGCAGGTCTTATCTCGGTCTGCAGACGAGTGTGTTGTGGCATTGTGTGATCAATGGTCAGTGCAGAAAACACTCTCATACAGATGCTACATACTATTTTATCTCAGAACGCATGATAACATCTACTACCATCTTGTAGTATATTCACTCCCTCTTCAATTAAATCATGCCCTATCCCTGTGCTCTTGTGGGATTTTAGTCGTTTTTTGTTGTGGTGGTGACTTGCCTTGAGGCGTCCCTGATCGATTTGACTTGGGCTCTCTATCTGTCAGGTATCTGGATTATGGCAATGAGGAATGGAAAAAGCAAGCTACGGGCGTCCTGGAGGCTCTTGAGACGTAAGTCTCACACTTTGTGGCATCGGGAGATTACAGTGGAAATTGTCAAGTTGCTGTGTGGCACCGTTATTGCTAGAGAGACTGTATGAATGCGTGAATACTGACTGTATGCTTTGCTCTTTAGGTTCTGTGACGAAACCAGGAAGAACTTTGAAGCAACATTGGCTTGGCTTCAGGAACATGCCTGCTCCAGATCGTATGGGCTAGGTAAGACCGGCTTATCTGTGTGTTACTGTAGTTAACAAGCTTTGTTGCCAGCTTTTCCTGCATCCTGTTGGATTTTTCTTTTGAAATAAATTGCTCGTAATAGTTAGGCAAACTGCACAAAGTTTTCTTTGCACACATCCATTTGAAATCACCTCAGATGGCCGCCTTTGTGTGAAGCTTATCTTAATCAAAGTGGTTTTGTAAGGACAAGGCCCATCTATATTTCTTTTGTAATACTCTTATTCCTTGCTCCTCCCTTGCCCCCAAACCACTCAGCGATACCATCAGCAATTTTCATTCTATTCCTTAGAGAGTACCTTTGATTTTGGACTTCTTTTATGTGTTTGGTTCCCATAGGAACCCGGTTGCCATGGGATGAACAATGGCTCATTGAGTCCCTGTCGGACTCCACAATCTATATGGCTTACTACACCGTGGCACATCTCCTCCAGGGAGGGGTCCTCAACGGACAAGGACCCTCGCCACTGGGAATTAGGTATTATTTGCTTTTGCGGAAAAAGTAGGATAGTTAAAAAATGCAAAACAATGTGTATTATAGAATAAACAAGACAGTTCTAATTACCAAATTTACGTAATGCAAGGTTTTGTAGGATGAAGATCAGTTAAACAGGAGAATGAGGAAAGGTGATTGATGGAAAAACATAATGTAAACGTAAAAGATTTTGAAATGATTGTTTGGATTTTGGAGTCCTTCTTTATAGGGGTGGGCCAAATGACCAAATGTTATGTCACGATGTGAGTAATTTCATTTGACAGTAATGATATATAACCATAGTTATTTTTTATTTAAATAAGGCCTTTGATATCAAAGTTTGATACCATAGAAATTTCGTAATTCTTGTCACCAGTGTCAGTATTACACACACACAAAAAAAAAATTAGCCTAAATTAAAAAACTCAAGCTCACTGAAGACAAGTAAACAGTCAGCAATTAAATAATAAGCTAATTACAAGAAATAGGACAAAAATAAGCTACAGTAGAACAAATAAATAAGAAATGCTACATGCATTGTATAATCAAATGAATAAAAACACTGCATATTCTTCACTGTGTAAGTTAAATATACAGTGGGTACGGAAAGTATTCAGACCCCTGCGTTTCAAAAAGGCGGGGCATAGAGGAGAAACAATAATGTACAGTATGTGGAAAATAATGTGTTTTTTGAACTTTAAACTGCATAAACACATTTCATTACACCAAATACACAAAATAATGTTCTTTTTAGCAGCATCATATGACCCCTTTAAGAGCTGCCCGGATCTAGTATACTGTTACACACGTGTTTTCTTTCTCAGCTGTTTGCTTTCACTTGCAACAAGTGTGTGTATTTAACCATTCAAGGTCTATAAAGTGGCAAAGATAACTCTGTTCCATACTCCCGCACTCTATGAGCAGCGTCTTCACATGTGCGCACCTCATTTTGCTGCTGATTGCATTTCAGTGGCTTAAAATCACTTTTTTACCGCAATGCTTAAAAACGTGTGTAAACTCAGAAGTTTTCGTGACCACGTTCCACGTAGCACAGCAACGTCACATGAGCGTATAACCACGATATAGAGACAATAGTCCAAAATCTCTACCGTTGACAAATTTCTGCTGGTTAATCGTGTCTACCGGTATATTGCCCACCCCTACTTCTTTATATTATATGTAGATCATACCCATTTTCCCCATTTATTCAGCTTAACACTTGACCTTTTACCACCAGCATGGGGCAGGTAGTCACTGAATCACTTTAAAGATTAAATGGAGTGCTGCAGGGATGACATATTTTTGTAGGCCAAAACCCAAAAATTAGCTTTTTAACACTTCTGGATCCATCATTCTGAAGTCAATAGATTTTTTGAATGTTTTTTCGATTAAATGCCTGAAATAACATCTGTGGTAAACATGAGCTCCAGATAGTTTTATTTTTTTGTTGACATGATAAAATACACCAGTAATCTTGAAAAAGGAGGTTGCTAGCAGGTGGCTAAATGGGACTACTGTGGTTGTCAGGGACATTAAACGGCATCACACTAAAGAGGAAAACTCATATATTCCACTTTTACAACCTCATTGTGTAAATAATCACACTCATGCAAACTATTCTAGTTAAAAAAATGGTTAATGGTGGTGCCGTTGAAGTCATGCGACTGTGGTGCGGTTTGTTTATAGCCTATGTCTAGCTTTTTTCTGCTGCTGATTATATTTAATATTCAAAATTAAGTTGTTCATTTGTGAACAAAACATAGAATCATATTTTTTGTGCGCCATCACTGCAGGACTTTATATAGTAAAATAATTAAAAAGTAAATTTTACAAGTTGACTTTGTCTTAACTTAATTTTTAGAACATAGATAACATGGGTAATATATTTAATTTAAAATGAATTTAACAAGTAATAAAAGCCAAATTTACATGTACCCTAATATCTGCTTGCATTTAACAACCCCACAGTGTTCAGATAAAGAATCCAGCAAATATATCATGGAAAATATGCTATCAAATTGAGTAACAATTGTGAGAATTGAAAGATAAAGCTTACGTAAAATGTGTCCGACTCACTGTGAATCAAATTGAGAACAAAAATAACATGGGAAATGTCTGAATATACTGCCACACATGTTCATTGTTACTTGAATAAAAATGGTAATCCACAAAAAAGTGATAAAGAAAACCACATTTCCTCCCATTAGAGCCGAGCAGATGACGAGGGAGGTGTGGGATTACATCTTCTTCAAAACAGCACCTTTCCCAAAGACGGACATCCCAAAGGAAAAGCTGCAGAAGCTCAGGAGGGAGTTTGAGTTCTGGTACCCTGTAGATGTCAGAGTATCAGGGAAAGATCTGGTGCCAAACCACCTCTCCTATTACCTCTACAATCATGTAGCCATGTGGCCCAATGACAGGTACACTGCAGTTTACTTATTTACAAGAAAATGCAGTTTACATTACAAAAATTAATGTATTGCAATAAAAAGTACCCCCTCCCCCCATTGTTGTAATTCCTACATCACAACTATTACTACTTAATTTAAAGGTGAAGGCCTTTTTCTTTTTTTTTTTGTACATTAACCAGGGAAGAGAAAGTAATATTCTAGTAGTAATATAGCCGTTTAATTTAAATTTGTCACCCTGATGGATATTTGCATTGCTACACATTTTCACGCTCTTTGCTATATATATATATTTTTTTTCATGATAGTGGCAAATGGCCAAAAGCAGTACGTGCCAATGGTCATCTTTTGCTAAACTCTGAAAAGGTGAGATGATATTCCTCTTCTGTCTTTCTTGTTGGGAAAGACATACGCTGAGTTTGCTCTAACCTTAGCTACAGTGCAATAAATTGTGCTCCAGTGTAATTGTGAGGACCACATTTCTGAGAAATGCTTTATGGATATCTTTACAAATCTCTTTAACAAAAAGTCCATAAATTACCATACTATTATAGTATTTATTAACATTTTTATCTAGCATTTATTTATTTTTCAGCTTTTGTTTTAATTTAAGTTTTAGTAATTTTATGTGCTTTTGTTTTAAATATTTCTTTTTGCCTTTAATTTTTATTTCAGTTTTAGTAATTTTAGTGCTTAAACTTATTTTATTTCAGTTAGTTGACAAGGCAACATTTCTAAATGTCAAGTTTTTTTTTTTTTTGTTTTCTGTGGTATTTCAATTAAGAAAATAGTTTGTTTGTTCCTCTGTATTTATGAACACGCATGTTGTGGATGGTCCTCTTCAGTCGTCTAATTAGATGTTTATTCACCCACCAGATGTCCAAATCCACTGGCAACTTTCTCACTTTGAGTCAAGCCATTGCCAAGTTTTCAGCAGATGGTAAGTCATTTGAAGGCCAAACACTTTACATGTGGTCAGACTCTTACTGCAGCAGGAGTAGGTTTAAGACCTATGCATGTAAAGTCTAACTTTGTGATCCCCTCAAAGAGGATATATGTTTTTTTTTTTTTTCTGTGACCTGTAATGTAGAATTATGAATGTGAATGCCATAAACCCCTGCCAACCTTGACTGTGTCTGTATCGTAGGTATGCGTTTAACTCTGGCTGATGCTGGGGATACGGTAGAGGATGCTAACTTTGTCGAGGCCATGGCAGATGCAGGAATATTGCGTCTCTTTACATGGGTGGAATGGGTGAAAGAGATGATCGCCAATCAGAACAACCTGAGGACCGGACCAGTGGACACGTTTAATGACAGAGTATTTATTAGGTAACACAAAGTGCTGACAGAAGTGTGAAACAACAAAAAAAGCATTCATGTAAAATTCACTTGTTTCCATTCAGTAGTATAGTGAATATATTATATTGTGGTATAATAACAATAATAGAAGTGCACTGTTAAGTAGATAAAATAAAGAAAATACAATGGGAATAGGTACACTACCATTCAAACGTTTGGGTTCAGTAAAATTATTTTATTATTATTTATTATTTCTTTTCCTGAAAAAAATTGCTTTCATTCAGAATGACAAATTAATCAAAAGTAACAGTAAGGACATTTATCATTTTACAAAAGATTTGTTTCAAATAAATGCTGTTCTTTTGAACTTTCCATTTAATCCTGATAAATCGGTTTTTATAAAATATTAAGTAGCACAACTGTTTTCAACATTGATGGTAATAATAATAAATGTTTCTTGAGCAGCAAATCAGCATATTAGAATTATTTCTGAAGGATACTGTGACACTAAAGACTGGAGTAATGATGCTGCAAATTCAACTTTGCCATCACTGAAATAAATTACATTGTAAAATATAATCAAAAATAAAACGGCTCTTAAAGCTGTTTTTACTGTACTTTTTTTATTAAATTAATAAAACCTTGGTGAGCTTCTTATAAAACATTTTTTTTTAATTCTTACCGACCACAAACTTTTGGAGCAGTAGTGTATATAGAGAACATTCATTCATTCATTCATTCCTAACTGTTTAGAGTTTTTGACTGCAAAATTAAGGCATGGTTTTAATCTGTAAAAGGGTCTTTATTTTTATTGATTTATTTCCACCTGATTATCTATGTCTGTCTGCAGTGAAATGAATTCCAGCATCATTAAAACAGAGCAGCACTTTGAGAGAATGATGTACAAAGAGGCATTGAAGAGCGGTTTCTTTGAGTTCCAGGTAACATAGACAATTAAATTCACCATCCTTCACATCAACATCCGTTGGCTAAATAATTGTGGTGGAGTCATATGGAGCAATTATATTTACATTAGTAATATTAAAGGCACAATATGTAAGATTTTTTTATTAAAAAATCCAAAAACCACTAGAACAGTGTTATATATTTTGCTGACTTGTGTACTTACATTATCCCAAATGTTTCGAAGAATGTTTAAATCCAGAGAAATAAGCAATTTGACGGCTTTCAGCCTCACCCTGCTTCATTCTACTACGTTAATAGATCATTAGCTCATCCATGAACATGATTTCTGCCCGAGTCCCGTCGGATTGCATCGGCTGTGGGGATGAAGACGACAACTCCCATGATTCCACACTCAGTCATGGCATCATCAAACTATGCCTTTGATTCTTTGTTTATTTTGAATTTGCGCCCTCTAGCGGCGAAAATTACATATTGTGCCTTTAATTAAAAAGAACAGTAACGCATCACGTTATTTCAAGAGACCGCATGTACGGCATGTGTCATTCCATGATATGTCAGGAAATTTTCAGCAGTGTAAACTATGGCAGCGAGGCTATGTATAACAACAAGTTCTTGATTCTTTGAAGGCCGCCAAGGATAAATACAGGGAGTTGGCCATCGAGGGCATGCACAGGGATCTTGTGTTCCAGTTTATCGAGAACCAAACACTCCTGCTGGCTCCCATCTGCCCCCACCTGTGTGAACACACCTGGTCCCTGCTGGGGAAGGTGAGACCCCCTCTACGCTGAAGGACAGGTTTCCACTAAGGAATTGCCTGCTTACTCGTGAACCATAACATTTCACAGCCAATCATACTAACGAGGAACTACAGTAAATGGCATTTTCCACATATATGGTACACCTTGATTTTCCAGTTGTTTGTTTCAAAGGCACAAATCCTAAACTGTATGCAACAGATACAATCATGCAACAATGTCATACTTTTGACAATATTGTGAATTGACATTCAATTAATTGTAGTAAGAAAAATATCCTTAATAGCTAGTTTTAATTACCATTATTTTTGGGGATTTCTGTTTTTCCAGAATATAAATAAGGAATGTTTAAAATAAATATGGAACATAGCTTGATGTATTCCCCAATTGTAAGTCGCTTTGGATAAAAGCGTCAGCTAAATTAATAAATGTAAAATGTAAATGTATTTAGTTAAAGCTTTTAGACTAGAATTGCATCCGTGGCATATCCATTCTTGCATTATGATTTGTCCACTCAATTTTAAAATTTTAATTTC